ACAGGCTGCGTATACATGGTTCAGGATGGTTTGCATTTCACGATGAGTTTTAGTATGTATAAGAATATCATCAGCATAGCTGATTGAAATATTGCTGGGGTTGTCTGGTATTAAATTTAATTATGCATTCATAAGAACATTGAACAAAGTGGGGCTAAGTACTCCACCTTGAGGTGTACCTAGTTGCATATCTTTAACTTCACTTTTGTAACCCTGAAACAGTGCGGCAGACCTTCTGTTGGTTAGGTAACCACTTATCCAGTATAACAGCCTACCTCCTATATCTATTTTGGCTAGTTCGTACAATATCAGTTGCCTATTGACAATATCAAATGCAGCTTTTAGGTCAAGAAATGTGGTGTATCTGTGCCTTTCATCACCATATACAGTTAGGAATGTGGTGATGCAATTATGTACACCTTTACCATGGGTGAAGCCATTTATGTTAGGAGACATGTGTTCTCTGATTCTATATAAGAGTCTGCCAAGAACCATCCTCTCAAAGGTTTTACACAGGCAGCCGGTTAGTGATATGAGACGAAAAGCATCAGGCTGTCCTGGTTTCGGTATTGGTAGAACAATACTGCTGGTCCATGATGTGGGTAGTTGGCCCTCGGCATGACTCATATTGTACAATCCCAACAATGGATTGCCTGGGACGCGCCTTAGTAGTCTAACGATGTTGTAGGTGACTCCGTCCTCTCCAGGGGAAGTAGACCTACCCCTGGCGAGGGCGGCGTCAAGCTCCCACTCAGTATATGGAACATCACACTCATCGTGCTGTTTGCCCAGCATAAAGTTAATAAGATTACTTCTCTCTACAGACTTCACACCAAGGAGTCCCCGAGTCCTAGCTGGTAACATGTCATAGCTAGAGACATGAGCCCACTTTGTTATTAGCTCATTCGACTTTTGCAGAGGGTTTGGATGGGAGACGTGTCTACTGTTTTTACCTCTGATTATGTTTATGTCTTTCCAGGCTTTGCTGAGGGATGTGTGTTGGTTCAGGCTGTTGACATATGTCTTCCATGCATTTTGTCTGAGTTCGCTTACACGTTCCCTGACAGCAGCAAGGGAAGCTTGATACAATTGTAACATTTGAGGTGTTCTAATTTGTTTGTAACCCTTACCCACCCTCCTGACCCTAGCCCTGAGTTTTTTCAGCTCAGGGTCATTATAGCACTGCTGTTGCCTGTTCCCATTATGCTGACCACGTTTTCTCCATTTTTTGGTGGAGGCATTGTTGGTGAAGTATGCATAAGTCCTCTCTATCAGATCGTCATGGAAACTTTGGTAGTTGTCAGACTTGTAGTCCTTGTACCAGTCATGGATGAAGTCTATGAACTGGCTTTCATGTTCTTGCTTGACTGTGATTCTACGTCTCTTGAGTATACCACCAGTGGGGATGTCATTGGCTACATGTATACTAGCTTGGATTGGGCTGTGGTCAGACATAAGATCAGTGACAACATCAGAGCTATGAGTTGTGTATGATAGATTAAAGCCAATACATTTGTCTAGACCCCCGCCATAGATGTGTGTTGGTTCATTATTACCTATAATTTGAACATCTTCATATGCGCTGAGAAGTGAGATAAGTCTCCTGACCATTGGTGCTAGTGGTGGAGTCACCTAATTTCTTGTGTCTAGTATTCAGGTCACCCATCAGGACAGTGGGCTCAGTGTGTAAAAAGTCTGGGAGATCTGTGTACTGAAGCTGATCTGAGGGAGCATAGGCGTTTAGCACGTTGAGTGTGGAGTTGCCCAGGTGGATAGTGATCCCATGGTACTGAAGGTTGGTAGTCTTTTTGGATACAAGAGGTACATGCGGGAGTGACTTCTTAACATACATCATACATGTGTGAGTAGAACTAGGATCATAATACTGATAATTGGGCAGACTGGGTGGGGTCATACCATTAGGTGTGAGACACTCCTGCAGACACACAATATCGATGTCCTCAGTCACAACTTTGTGGTGTAGGTCAGGGTGTCGTTTTTCAAGGGATGAGATGTTCCAACTCATCACCTTCACCGCTCTGTATCTTTGTCTGGTATTAACACTGGCCATTATGAAATGTATTTGGAACTTTGTCTGGTATTAACACTGACCATTATGAAATGTATTTGGAAAGAAGCAAAAGGCACTGTATGATACTGTTCTTTTCTGCGCTGCCTGTCCCTTCGGCAGGCAGTAGGCCACCTAACGTTTTTGAAACATTTCTGGAGCATGTACGGCTCAACAATTGTTGTATTTCAGTGGTAGACATCAACACACTTTGGTTACACTCGGCATCACCACCATTTTCTGTTTGTGTTTGTTCATCTTCACTGACCATGTCCACAGAGGCATCAGTAGAACTGTTACCAGTATCACTGTTTTCCTCTGCGTGGACACTAGTTCCTGGTGGGCCTTGAGTTTCTACATCTGGTACTGACATCTGAATGTCTTCAGTTTGACTGTAATTTTTCCGTAGCTGCTGCACTGTGTTGGTGGTGTTTTTTTCCTGTAGTGTATCACAGAGGCTCCTTAACATTTCAGTTTGAGCTGTAAATTGAGCTTTGAGTTCCTTAATTTCATTTTTCAAATCATTGATCTCTTTATGTTGTGCGTGTTCACGGAGTGTGTTGGCAGCTACCTGTTGTGTCGGTACGTCTGTGTTGCCCCATGTTGATCTTTCGATGACTGCTGGTGATGTTCCTGGAGCTTTGGTGGGGAGGGCGGGCCAGGGGTTGGCCGTAGGGAGTACCCTAGCAGCATTAGTGTTTCTTGAAACCTGCCTGGGTGGTGGGTCTGGGCGCTGAAGGGGTGTAGGAGTTCTAGAACAGTCAGGGTGCCATACAGGAACTCCAACTGTTTTGCAGTTAATACACTTCTGTTGAATGACACCCCCTTGAGCAACTGTATCTCTGCAAACCTGTGTTGCATGTTGCCTTGAGCAGAGATCACACCACGGCTTAGTGGAGGGGCATAACCGGGCCACATGGCCCCAGTGCTGACAATTGTAACACCTCCGGTTAGGGGGCTGATAGAGAGTTACCTTCAGAGTCCGATAGGCACCACGGACTCGAATGGTCTTGGGTGGGTTCTCCGAGCCAACCCAGTCTGCAATGACTGCATTCTTGCCCCTGAGTCGCTTCGTCCTTCTGATGTCGGGATGAGCTTCTAGTAGTGTAGGGGTCTGGCACTGGTCGAGCCCTATGATTAAGATGGTTTTCTTGCTCGATGGTTGGGATGATTGTTCCATGGTTATTCCCCTTATGCTAATGGTGAGGAGATCCTGTATGACTGCTGGGTCGCTTCTAATCAGAACATGATCTTGTGTACCGACTCTGAACTGAAACTCAGCGTCTGGGTGTTTATCTTCCGCATCGTTTAGCCAGAGATACTTGGCTTCAGGTGATGTACCTTCAGGGAAATTTAATCTTACTCTGGGGGGTTGATGGTCTCTAAATTTTTCTGCCCTTTCGGCCTTCCGCTTGTTCCTGGACTGAACTAGTTAAAAGCCATCTTCTCCGTTGGTGTCAAAGTCAACACCATAGTCGCCTGGCTCACTCAATGCATCAGGAGAGTTAAAGCGAGTAGCTGGGTCTCCAGTCAATTCAGACATGTTGGAGTTACAGGACTCGACCTATATGCCTATGTCAGAGGGCCGAGGACTGCTTGGCACTCCTAGGAAGTCAGCGGTGGTTGGGAGGCGTAACCCTCTTAAAGGACAAAGGAGACTGGCATCTACAGGGTATTAGCGGTGTGAGGGGAGGCCGTGAACGGGCCTCCCGCGGAAGGAGTGTGGTGTCGGGGGGACTAAGGTAACAGGAGTATTCTCAGTTTATAAACACTTTTATTACACTACACTTGTTCTTAATAGTATCTCTGTTTTTCTGGTTAGACCCAGTATCAAAGTCAATTTTAGTTTCAAAAGAACTATCCAGCCTGGCACACTATGAGGAGGGGGGTTTGTGTAAACAACCCCTCACCACATGGCCGAGCCTGACCACAAGGGTATAGGCCTTGCTTCGCGGGCACCTACACACGCCACAGTGCTCAACCCACGTTAGTTCACTTGTTATACAGGCAACATATTTGCAGTTGTTGGCCTATCGGTTAAGGTATTCCTCCAAGTGATAGTGTTAGGAAGAACACCTAATATTCAGTAACACCTTGTGAGAATCCTGCTCCTCAAATCCCAGTGTGTACCAACCACCGTAATCTTAAAAAGATCACAGGTGGTCCACGCACACAGCCCTGCTCACACACACGCTGAGGGGAAACTGTAGAAGTAGCAATAGTGTGTGTGTGTGTGTGTGTGTGTGTGTGTGTGTGTGTGTGTGTGTGTGTGTGTGTGCCAGACACGGAAAATATTCTTTGTAAAACTCATTGATGAAATTAAAAATCTTTATTTGTGCGAGAAGCGACTTGTTTAATTTGTAGGTTTACTGAAAAAATATATGTATTCATTAAAGCAAAGTGTGTTAGAAACGCTCTGGGGTTTTACTGTTCACATGAGTTGATAAGTACAAAGAATAATTCTATGGTGTTTTTCACAGCATTTTAATAAAATGTGGAGATGAGGTAGCTGAATGAATACAGAATACAAAGCTGGCCTCCTGTCCTAAGAGTCGCTGATTCCATCCAGGAGCACTCCTATTCCACCCAGTTGTCAGTGTTGTCGAGTAGAATGTAGACCACCCTGCCTTCTTGTATACCAAAGCCTTAGTGTGTGGATTCCATATATTCAATTTTCTTATATATATATATATATATATATATATATATATATATATATATATATATATATATATATATATATATATATATATATATATATATATATATATATATATATATATTATAAAACACACACACACACAACGCATACATCCTGTACATACCAACCTGTGTGACTGGTGAAGACTTGAGGTAATCGTTGTTCCAATCTTTGCTCTTAATATTCCCTGACACATGAAAGGTGAAGGTTAAGAAACAAAAAAACAAAACATTTCCCTTTATTCTTATTTATTGATATTTCTACCCAAACACGATATTTGCAAACATACATATGGACAAACGAGCATTTATAATTCAATAATTTTTTCTTTTATTTCCATAAACATATAAACGCACACCGAGGTTGTCAGTGTAGCAGCCTCATATTTTTTTTATTAAAATTCGACGTTATGTTAGTCGACGTGATATGAGTTTCTGTAAACATTCGGAAACCCTGATATGTCTAAATGTTTAAAGGTTTCAGTTGTAAAAGGTGGACAAACATACAGTACAGAGAAGCCTGGGAAGTTTTGGGAGAGTTTACACTAATTCGGACACTTCGGCTGAATGAGGAAATTTTATTATTTTATCCATGTATTTACTTATATGCAGAGAGATTTATTTTGTGACCAGAGAGTCTCTTGGGTCAACTTTGCTTAATTTGGGTCAAATGAGTAATTAATTCAGAATGTGATAGCAGAGTTTGAGGGCATTTTCCGGTAGGTTGTACAGTATATACACTTAGCCCAGACCTGTTCAGGAGACCCATCGACTTCTTGAGAATAATGATCTTACTTTGAATATTAGATCAATTTCCCTAAATTCTGAAGATATGAAAAGGTTATCGTAAAAGATAATCCCCAAATTTAAATGGTTGTATATATTAAAATCTGGGGATTCTTTTTCGATTAGCCCGTATTTATTCTGAGATTAGAATACAAATATCATCTCCAGAAGATTTTATATCCTGTGTGGACAGAGAACAAACAGAAAATACCACATCAGTCCTGACTACTACTAAAAGGGGTCACTCAGTCGGCCGAATATCTCCACGTTACTACCGCGTTAGAGCAGGTTGGCTGCTGGTCAGAACACAGCATCAAAAACACCTAGTGTGATATAACCTTTAAGCGAGCCACAGTAGAACTAGAACTCCACACATATTAAGTTTCATTAATGAAGTAGTCTATGGCAATATCACTTTCTGACGAGTTTCTCATTGGTTGTGTCTGCCTCACCAAACACTCATTTATTTACACATTTTCGAGGACTCTAGAAAAATTAATGTTTCCTATGAACAGTTTTTTATGGTATGAACTACTATGAAGAAAATATGATTGATAAGAAGACGTTATGTTAGATACAGTAGAATCAATGTGATTTATTACATATATAAAAAAAAAGTTTGTATACAGATTTCTTATCAAAACTGAGTGATAACAAAGAAAGGAAAGCGAGCTTAGTTCATCACCAGACCTCGTAACATGGATAAGAAGACTTTTTAGTCCTTTGATCTCGTTTGTCCCGTGGTGAGAGACACTAATGAACCTAAGTGGCATAAGTCTACCTCTTCATATCATCAACTCCCAGAATCAACATGGATAAAGTGAAGCATCAGTTGTGTCTTGTGTTGTCATCCTCAGTGTTTACATTACACAAAGTAACATTTCCAGTGTTTACAATATTATGTGACTTACAACTCACACTACCATTCCCTCGAAACTCATTCACAGTTCACTCTTATATGAATGCTTATATGCATATACATTAGCCATTGTATATACATATACTGTGTGTAGCAATGGCATTGTCATGTGTCTTAGGGATAGCTGTGGCATAACGCCAACGTCATTACATTCCGGATTTCTTCAAAAGATTCAAGCAAGTTTATATACAGGAGTAATCATATAGATGAACGTAACACAAACTATAATCCAATATGATTTTGGTAATAGCAAACGACATTGTCAGTAAAACATAGACCCAATTTATCCCACATTCAATAACTTCTATTTAATGATAATAATAACGCCAAAATATGAGCTCTAGTGAGCTATCTCTAGTCAGATGATTTTCCCTCAAACATATGACGGCATTAACTCCCATATAGCAACATTAAGCAAAATATTCCCTATCATCACGGCATAGGACACTCCCCAAAGGCTGCCATCCAGAGTGTGAACTGTGCTAAAATTTTCAGCTCCAGCCCTCACATGTGTGGCAGCCAGTGGTGCTACGGAGACTGCAGGATTGGTGGTAAGGCTGGCACACGACACGCCAAGACAACATAGAGACGTGGAACATCAATTTATGTAATAGATAATTCTAATATGGGGAAAAAATATTCGCGTGTGTACGTGTGTGTGTGTGTTTATATATGCCTACAGTAAGTGTTTGTTCATTGAATAATAATAATAATAATTATAATAATAATGATAATAATAACTCAAACACACACACACACACACACACACACACACACCACACACACACACAAAGATAAGAAAATACGTGTCATAATGTCCACAAGATTCTCTCGTTCCAGCCATGTGTGTCGTGAAAGACTGCCACATACGTCTTAATACATCTTGAATTTACTCCACCTTGACTTCTACTTTAAGCTCCGCAGATATTAAAATTCTTACGATTTATTGCCATATTCTAGGATATATTGTGACACTGAGTCGTAATATACAGTATGTGGATTAATATAGTTCTTAGTTTTAGGGGTCCTTCCTATATTTTAAGGTGATTTGCTTTGCTTTTTGTGAGTGGTAATGTGAGTTCGTAAGATATAGCTCTAATTTTTAGAAGGTTTTAAGGTGCCTTGCGAGTCTTTAGGAATCATTATGTGTGGTGTTAAATATTTTTGAGCTATAGGTGTTATTGAAATATTGTGTCTAGTGAGTCAGTGTGAAACATATTGTGTTGCTATAATTTAACGTTACTTTTTAAGTCAGTAAAAGTCATAAAATGTCTGGACTAAAATAGTTCTTACCTTTATGGTGTTTTTCTATATTCCAGAGTGGCTTATGAGTTATTATGATTCAAAATATGTATATTTCTAATAAAGTATTTCAAAGTATTTTATGAATCAGTGCGAGTCGTAATGTGTGTGTGTGTCTGTGTGTGTGTGTGGTCTGAGTCTCTGTCACCACCTTCCACCTTACGCTGCTTCTCCTCAACCATTACTCTTACGAACAATAATGAACTTTCTCAGACTTACCACATTTAAAACTTGTTTAAAAAAAAATTAAAAGTTTCATTACATTTTTAAACTCCATCCTCGGGTTACTGGTGAACACGAGAAATTAACTTATTACTATATATAATTAAGTGATCACTTACCAATACAATTAATTTATCTAGTATAATTATAAGCATTTATCCAGTATAGTCAATGGATATTCAGTATCCAGCATAAAGTTCATCATTTTTGTTTACACTTATTTTTCCAATGATAACATTCACTGTCAACACCACACACCGGTTATTGTATTATTGCCGGAGGAACACATTCACGTTATCCACCTTTTATGGATAAGTTCAAAGTCGTTTATGCTAACAAAAAAAAATATACCGAATGCTGAACAGTTATTTACATTATAAACAGACATCGAATTTGTTGTTCACGTTGTATATACATTTATTTGTCCAGGATCACGGTCAGGAGTGAAGCCAATCATTAGCTGGAAAAAATAAGAAACGTATACGCATTAATTGAACTGATATACAGTACAACTAAATAGTTAAATTATTAATGTGATTTTGACATGCATAATTATATAGAACAACAAAGACATATTCCTGTACTTAAATATATAAATATACATATGCAGTCATGACTCTATTAAACAGTATTCATGAATCAATGCCTAAAATATGACGAAAATATGACAAAATACCAGTTGTCCACAAAAGAAATACTGTATATAATCAACGACCTCACCAGCAAGGAATCGACCCCTCGACCTACTGGGTGTGACTAGGGGACGCTTACCGGCTAGGCCACAAAGACACTAAAAGCAGTTCTAGACTCTGTTATATTTCACACAAAGCCTGTTCATCGAGCTGATGGCGCCGTGAACCTCATTGGGAAACTGTCCCACCCAGTAGGTCGAGGGTTCGATTCCTTGCTGGTGAGGTCGTTGATTATATGTTCAAAGTCCGCGTGTTATATGGACTAAAAATGAAGTATATATATATATATATATATATATATATATATATATATATATATATATATATATATATATATATATATATATATATATATATATATATATTTCATGTAGATCCACAATGAAAACGTGGATAAGATAAATCTTGATAAAGACGAAAGCTAAGGTGCTCCGTTGTTTCCCTTTTCCCGTGTGATTTTATCAAGATATATATTTAAAATACAGGGTATATCAATCAATAGCGTTCACATATGATATCACCTATATATCACATATTACAGCACGAAGAATAAAATACATTAGTTTTTATGATTCTTCTGTGGACACCGTGTACAGTATACTCGTATAATAAATTATTCAGGATATACTCTTATATCACAAATAAGTTTACACAGTTTACGTCAGGTGAGGATATAAAGGTGTTGTGATCCCCTGCTCATGTGTATAAAATATGATCCTTTTAACTTACCTCGATAGTGGAATTTCGGCTCTGATACTGAACACTTTTTCCCCTGCAATGATGGACAAAAATATTTTTTTAAGAATTTTCTATAAAGTCGGATTTTATTGTCATTTTTAGAAATGGATATTATTTCCTTGTTTGTGACATGTATATAGTCAATGAGAGATGTGTAAGTTGAGTCATATTTCACTTTAATGACAGTCTTACAAATGAGATATAACTCTAGCTAATGACAGACAGTGTTAAGTGAGTCAATATTCCACTGTCCATAACTACAGTGGGTGTATGTTGTTGTATGACAAAGAGACCAGTGGTGGGTTTATATATTACTCCCGAATGCATTTTGTTCCACCTGTGACATTTGACCCCGACAAACAATTGTCTGAGAGTTAAATTTATTTTAGTTAAATCATGATGATCAAACACATTAAACCTTACTACTGTATACATTACACCTTCGTTATAAACCTTATTGGTAATCACCGGAATCAACAGCAAATAAATTGTTAGTAATCTTACCAAATGGAAATCAGCATATCCTAATCCTCTTCCCTTCCAGCCTATTTTAGGTAATCTTTCACCAATCCCTGACCATTTAGTCCAATTAAGAGTTAACAGTATTAGTGCCTTAGGTATGTCGAACTTTGTCGAGTCAGGGCTCATACCTGGTATTTGTTGTATTACAATTGTCACTGATATACTTCGTCAACCCCTTCTACTGAAACCTCCACACACCTATTCTAACCTAACCTAAAGTAACCTGCCTTAACCTAACCTAACCTAACCTAACATAACCTAACCTAGCCTAGCCTTACCTAACCTAACCTATGTTCCAGGAGGTCAGATTCACTTAAGTGAATGATGTAATATTATATTCTTAGCTGTATTAATATAAATTAAAGTACTCCTGTGTTCCGCGCTCTCTCTCTCTCTCTCCTCCTGTGTCTTGCACTCGCTCTCTCTTCCTCTGTCTGTCTGTCTGTCAGTCTGTCTGTCTCTCTCTCTCTCTCTCTCTCTCTCTCTCTCTCTCTCTCTCATTAAAAAAGATGGCTCCAGTATTAATACTCTAAAAGCACACTCCAACAGGTCGTGGTTGCACAAACTTGTATAATAACAGATTTTCCCCCGTTAATTCCGGTGACAAAAATTGACGCAACATAACTCTCTCACTTCCCGCCCACCAAAATAATTAACCTAGTCGATATATTATCCAATTTTAATCTGTGTACACTCTTTCATCTCAATATATCTCAGGGAAGGATTACGATCTTTTAACATATATATATATATATATATATATATATATATATATATATATATATATATATATATATATATATATATATATATATATATATATATATATATATATATATATATATATATATATATATATATATATATATATATATATATATATATATATATATATATATATATATATATATATATATATATATTTTGAGAGTATGATTATAATAGAAGAATTTGTTTTTATACCATGTCATAAAATGAAAAGAACAAATTTATTAATTCAAATTGAACTAAGTCTTAAAAATACAATAATGATGGAATTTTATAAGATTAATAAATTTTAGGGAACGGAAAAGGGTAAATGCAATTATTTCTTGCTCAATAAACCACCCTAATTATACAGTGAATTTCCATATAATTTATTTTAAGTGTATTCCACACTGTTATAGAAGAGTAAACTTTAAAAAAGGAGACAATTATCTTTCGCAAAAATATAATAAATTAGGTTCATCAGAATATTTTATCATGATTATTTGTTATTATACTTTTTTTATCGTGTAATTTCTGTCTTATTTTCAACTCTTATAAATATTACTTCAGTGATATTATTTATTTTAAAATAAATCAGAAGGGAATCGAACCCTGGACCTCTGCGTGTAAACAGGGATCGCTATCACCATGCCATAAGGACAACAAAATGCTACTCCGACCACACAGTTGGCACGGGTAATCCCTAATGGAGGTTCACCTTGTTTAACAAAGATGGATGAACAGGCTTTGTATGAAATAAAACAAAGCCTAGGATTGTTTTTGTTGTCCTCGTGGCACGGTGATAGCGATCCCTGTTCACATGCAGAGGCCCAGGGTTCGATTCCCGACTAGTGAGGGATTGTTTGTATACGGAAGTCCGTGGGTTCGAATCCTGGCGGGTTGAGGTGTTGATTATATATATATATATATATATATATATATATATATATATATATATATATACACACATATATATATATATATACACACATATATATATATATATATATATATATATATCTTTCTGTCTTCATACATCTCCGTTGATCACCTCCCACCACAACAATAACCGTACATTAATGGCCCGGGAATCAGAGCTACGACCTCTCCCTCAGAAATAGTTACACACCTGTTTTACATAAAAAATCCATAGTAATCATGGTAATAGCAGCTTGGTAATAATGAACGCGTTAGCTTCACAAATATATGAGAATAACCCGAAGTTTAGCAGGAGCTTAAGTTGTAAGTAATAGCGAATATCCTTTTTGATTAAGTCAGTTGAGCTACTTTGTATATTATGTAGTATAATTTTACATTTGTATGACACTTCGGTAATGGATGTGTATCTTGTAATGTGATTTATTTTAATGGTAGAATCCTCTTTGTATGATTAACCAGGACCAGATTAAAATTGCTACAGCGATTTACTTAAAGCATGAATTCTTGATTACTGGATCGTGGTACAAAATTGAATTATAGTAGTGTGTGTGTGTGTGTGTGTGATTGGCTCTCATAGACCAGATTAAGTAGGGATGTACTGATACTACGTTAGCTCGCTTAGGTCTGTAAGGATGCTTGCTTATTATGGTACCCTTTTCAGTGTATAGACCGTTAAGTAAAAATGGTATATAGAAAATGAATTTCCTATATACCATGTATTTGAACGTAACCTCATATAATTAATAATAAATAGATAAAACTCAATATTGCACTTATTTCAGAGTCGTCGTTTAAGTAAAATAATGTATAGAAATAATTAACTAAATTTTACACTTACAGCTCCGTAAACTCCCAAAAATATCAATCCAGGTTCTACTTTTACTTAAAATTGCTAAGATACATTAAGATACTTAACAGATACTTAACATTAAACATTAGTGTATACATTCCAATACATACTTAACTTATAGTGAAAATGGATTGCATTAACGAGGTTCCTATTCACATATGGCTATCATTGTACTCGTCAACAGATTTTAGTATGTATACCTCCTTATATTTTGTTAGTTATCTGAGCCGACAGTAGGGATAGACCTATACTTACAGTATATACTTATAATTGCCTAATATTCTATGTTAACCTCTATTACACCACCTACACTGCGCCTACACCCACTATTGCCCTCAAATACTCTACCAACATTGCGCCTACACAAACTATATTTCTCAAATAATCCACCTACACTGCGTCTATACCCATTATTATTCTCAAATATTCCACTTACACTGCGCCTACAATAACTCCTTGACCTACCTCGGTGTCTGAGGAAAAGTCAATATTGGTTCGGACGGTCCGGTGATGCGCTGACTGCAGCGGCCGGAAGTTGTTGGATACGGGCGCATTTCTGCGGAAGTCGGAAGACCCCTGCTTCAGCCGCCGAAGACTGCGCATCTATTGAGAGAAGGGAACACTGATTATGCGAACTGTGAGCATCTGTTGAGAAAAGAGCTGCGCATGTGCTAAATAAGGAATACTAAAAATTGTTAAAACACGAATATGGGTTTTATAAACTGGGAATCGTTTCAGTAAGAAATAATTGTTAAACGAACTGCACTTGTCGAGAAAAACTCCTGCCATATGGACTCACACCTGATGAGAGAGGAACACCAGCAATTATTATTATTATTATTATTATTATTATTATTATTATTATTATTATTAATACTATTATTATTATTATTATTATTATTATTATTATAATTATTAATTCCATATTTAACTTACGCTACCCTTCGCCCACTGCTTCTTCTTCCTCATCTCACAAGAAGGATCACAAAGCCGACAGAAGAACCTTGAGGTTTTCTCGTTGTTCGACCGACTGTGTGCACGTGTTCTCTCGTAAATACTCAAGTTAAAAACAAAATCCATCGACTTATCTCCCAAAGCAGTGATGATCCGATTATTCAGTTACCGAAGCAGTGAAAATCGGCTTATTTTATACACAAGATGGTGGAAATCTGACCATTCAATCGTCAAGGTCACTTGTGATAATACGAATAACTTGTTAAGAAAGCAGTGGAAAATCTAATTTTCCAGTTATGAATGGTCAGGGAGCCAGAATAAGTTAGTCCCGTTGCTATATATATCATACTTTTTTTTTAGTATTTTGTAATTAAAATCAGACTTATTCAATTTCTTTGTAATAAATACCAGACTTATTCAACAATACTGTCATTGCAATGAAAGTTAGGCTACACTGCTACCAAGACAGTAAATCCGCTTGACATAACCTAACCCTGCCAAACATAACCTATCCGAACTAAACTAACCTTCCCAAACTAAATTAAAACTAGCTTAACCCAACATAACCTAATTTCTCCTTATCTAATAAAACCCAAAACTAACCTAACCTAACTAAACCTAACCTAACTAAACCTAACCCATCATCTCCCAACCTAATTTAACCTAACCTAAACAAATAAAACTTAACTTAACCCAACCAGACGTAGATTTATCTAACCTAGACTCATTTATGTTAGTGTTTTGGGTTTAATAAAGACACGACAAAAATAAACAAAAACAAAGACATTTTTGTTAGTAACTAGGTATAGAAAAAACACATACAAAACAACAACAACAACAAAAATAACAACAACAACAACAACAACGATAAACCAAAAAAAAATCATTTACTAGAAAATATTGAGGAAAGCTTTAAGGGTTTTGGGCATGTATCAACATTTTCTCTGGCGTGGTGTGTGTGTGTGTGTGTGTGTGTGTGTGTGTGTGTGTGTGTGTGTGTGTGTGTTTTGTATGTATGAATGTATTTTAATAATAATCAACGGTTTATTGAAAGAACATGGCAGCCAGCAGAGTTAAAATATACCGTTACATAATTCTGTAATGGGCAATGAATCACTGGATCGATAAATAATATACAGTACAAGTAACATAAGTGATACAAATATGATATATATGAACAAGGGGCGGGGAAAGGTCATACTAAAGGGCATTTCTACATAGTAACAGTGCAAAAGTAAGACTACCTGGGATTGAACATACTGCTGTTGCAGTGTCGAACATTAAATCGCAGACAAGGGCTCTGGTGTGTGTGTGTGTATGTGTGTGTATGTGTGTGCCCTTTTGCCTTGCAGATGATTAACCTTGGCAGGTATAAGGCTACGGGAGTAAACCACAAATGAAAAATCTGAGGTGGAGCCCCGCATCAGGCAGACATGCTTACAGAGCTCCAATAAGACCCCAACGGCGGTATAGGAGGAAGAGGTGACCAAAATGGAAACCCAACGACTACACCAGCGGATGAAGGCAATGCATGATGGATGGCTACTAAGGCGAAACCCAACAAATTGGGCTATCGGCAGTCCATTGCAACTCTCTCTCTCCCCAGTCGTTTCAACTTCTTACACCATTGAATCAGGAAAAGGGAGAGCCAAGATGTGTAAATGCAGCCTGCGTTCCTTCCTCACCCCATAAATCAACTCTTGCGCAGCTATCATCCAGCTAATCATACTTCTCATCATCATCTAACCCCAACCCTCCCCCCCCCCTCCCTCCAAAAGTCCTATGACAACAGAGGAGTGGAGAAGGGGACAGGCAGAAATGAATACCGGGAGTCTCTAGTCACAACTCTGCACCTAGGCGGCATAGACAAGATGGTCGTTTATGTTCTTGGATCTAGGCAGTAGTGCAACCTGATCCCGTCTATGCGACTGAGCTACCCTTACCAGGAGCCACTCTGCTCACCCCATATAGAGAGGGGGCAGGAAAGGGTGTCCTAAACATAGCCTGCATATAGAACGAACCTGACTGGGCAACCACACCCATTAAGGTCATCCTTATGCGGTCAAAAACATAATCGCAATCACAAATCAAAGCAGAAACAAACTAAACAACCTGTTAAGGTCGCTGTATAAAATATCAGGACCCTTCTGGATAATGACAAAAAATGAGGGGGTCCTAAAAGAAAAACCTACCTTGTGGAAAAAGTGCTGTCCAGGTAAAACATCGACATAGCAGCCATTAGTGAGTCCCGACTCACAGACGAGAGTCGACTCACAGAACAGGGGTCCAGCTATACCTTCTTCTGGAAAGGTAAACCAGCTGCGGAGAGAAACAGCATTTATGGAGTTGCCTTTGCCATTCGCCAATCCATCCTACATACTGTAGGCTAATTGAAATGCCTATTGGGATCAACGAGCGCCTCATGACACTCTGAGTCCCAATGAATCACTCACGTCATGTCTTCTTCATCAGTGCATGGCCCCATCACTGGATGCACATGATGACATCATGGAGGCCTTTTACACTGATCTTGACAGAGTGCTAACCTCTATCCCCCCAAAAGATAAAGTTGTACTCCTAAGTGACTTCCTTGCCAGTGTTGGCATAGATGCTGACATATGGCAGGGAAACATAGGGGGAAACGCAGTCAGTAAGTGTAATCCCAAAGGTCAACGCCTCCTCAGCAAGTGTACTGAACACAACTTCATTATCACCAACACCTTGTTTAGTCAGTCCACCAAGTTCAAGGGTTCTTGGAAACACCCACGATCCAAACAGTAGCTTCTCATGGACTACGTCATTGTCAGAGAAAGAGATTGCCGAGATGTACTCATCACCCGAGCCGTGTGACACAGATCATTGGTGCGTCAGAGCAAAAACTCTCCCTTCTCGTCGCCCCAAAACGGTGAAGGCTACAAGCCTCCAGAGGAGGATTTAACACTAAGCAACTGGAGGATCCAGCGGTAGCACATGCATTCAGTGAGCAACTCAACACTAGGCTGATAAATAACCCAACAACAAACAACCAAAATCCCCATGCCGAAAGGGGTCCTATCACAGCTGTCATCACAAAAACCTGCAATGAGACACCCAGCCCGATCAAAAGAAAACACCAGGATTAGTTTCATGAAAACAACCTGTAATTCGAAGTACTCGTCAATAGTAAATATGCTGCTCTCACTGATTGGCAGAACAACCTTAAGTCTAGGACCAAAGAGGATACCTTCCAAGAGGAGAAAGTGGCGGTCCATCGCTTATTTCAAAAACTAATGAACGAATGGTGGAAAAGTAAAGCATGTGAAATTAAACAAATTGCACATCATCACAAGATGCACGAATTTTTCAATTCCACTAAAACAATATATGGCCCAACTACTCATGGCGTGGCCTCCTCTGCTCATCCGAAGGTAACACACTAATCAAAGACGAAGAAGGCATCAGTCAGCGCTGGAAAGAGCACTACCATTTGCTGCTCAGCCAAAACACCGATGTGTATGTACTAACTACCCAGTAGGTTCCTCAGCACCCAGAGCTGACCCACCACAGCTCTCCTCCATCCCTGGATAAGGTAGCTCCAGCCATCAAACAGATGAAAAATAACAAAGCCGCAGGGCATGATGGAATCCCGGCCTAGGTATATAAAGCAGGACGAACTCAGCTGGAGAAATTATGGGAGAAGGAAAAAATCCCCCAGGATCTTAAAAACGCTTCGATCGTCAATTTTTATAAGAACAAGGGAGACCTGTCAGACTGTGACAACTACCCCGGGATCTCATTGCTGTCCATAGCTGGCTAGATTATCGCCCGAGTCATCCTAAAAGACTTCTTTCTGAGGCAGAAAAGTTCCTCCCTAAATCTCAATTTGGTTTTAGACCATCACGTGGCACCATTGGCATGATCTTTGCTGCCCGCCAGATACAGGAAATTTGTAGAGAACATCGTCGTGACTTGTACATGGCTTTCATTGACCTTACTGTGTCCTTCGAATCAGTAAACACGGAAGCCCTCTGGCGGACTCTATCAGTCGTTTTGGCTGTCCACCAAAATTCATTGCCATTGTGAGGCAACTCCACGATGGCGCCCAGTCTCAGTTCTTCCACCATCCAAACGGGGGTGAAACAAGGATGTGTACTGGCACCAACACTCTTTTCTATTTTCTTGGCTGCCTTCCTTACTCGTGCCAGTTCCAATTTAGCCTGCAGGGTAGACATCCAGTACCGGATGAAGGGACTCTTCAACAAAAGACAACTCCAGGCAGGAATAAATGTGTCAGCCACTTCCATCACTGAACTTCAGTATATAGACGACCTCACCCTCGTTGCTCACACTGAACTCGACCTACAGGAGATCCTGAACACCTTCGCAGATGTGTATGCACACTTCGGCCTTGATATGAATGCACGTAAGACTCAGATTCTCTTTCAGCCTGCCTCTGGTTCAGGCACACCTCCACCATCCATCCAGCTTACCGGTACTACTCTCTCTAATGTTACCCACTTCCAGTACCTTGGCTCCCACCTCCACCGCGGATATGGATGAAGAGATCCAACATCGGATCTGATGCGCATCTCAAGCATTTGGCAGACTCCGTACCCGTGTCTTCAGCAGTAGGGAGCTGGAATTATCTCTACAAAGCCGCACGTGTGTTA